AGGAATTTTGGCACACGACGTAACGCCAGCGTTGGTCGTGGCTATTTTCATACTTGACATTATTTTATGGTAATTCGTCTGTGTCTTCCCAGACTTTGGCCACGCTGCCATGGTAGAGTGAGCAGAAACTGCGTTTGTTATTAATTTTAATAGCAATTCATTTTAAAGAACAAAAATTATTCAAATTTATCTGTGTTTCATGGAAACATATGACACTCTTTCCAAATATTTCGTCATGATGTAACAGGTTTTAGCGGACTCTGAATATTTTTCTTTCTGAATATCTTCTCTCTGAATATTTTCCATTGACTTTCAAAGTGTAAGCTTCCTGGCTATTCTACCATGACATATTCTTCTTTACGTAGAATTCTTGTAACTGTTTCCTCAGATATTTTTTTCTTAATTCTTTTATATTATTTTTTAATTTTTTATAATTTTTATAATTATTTTTATAATTTTTTATATTAATTCCTGAATTTGTTTGAATTTGTCTGCAAATAAACCTGTTATTGATTGCCAATAATTATCTTTCCCTTTCACGTTCAGGTTTATTACGAACTATTCCTCTGCACCTATGATTTTTTATACGCTGGAACGAGATCTGCCAATTTCACAAAAAGATTTTCCTGCGAAATAGAATTCTATAATTAATTTTCGCCTTGGAAGGTCTCTGAACGTGACAAAATTTCGTCTTTCTTGATTCGAAAATTGATCTGGCCTGTGCCACGAGGATTGCGATCTGGCATCAAAGCCAAAGGCTATGCAACAAAATATCGATATTTATTTGTCCATACAGAATAATTCCTACGTATCAACGTGTACGGTGAATTTTGTGTGAGTAAAATACCGGTATTTTTATATTTTCAATCCAATATAAACAAATGGATTATTTTATCTAAAATCCTTTCACGAATTGTTTGTTAAAATATAGGAATCGAATACATATCGCGTTTTTAATTCTGGATATGTGTATTTATATTTATCTTTCCGCCAATATTCATTAGCAACATAGCGATCTGCTTAATTCTGTGAGTAACTGCTGTATATTGAAACAAATTCGAACGGAGAAGAACATCAGATTATTTCATTTCAAATATTACGAACAAAATCTGCTCTAAATGGCTCACGTATAAATATTTTAGAAAAATTAATTTTTTCCACTTTTCTACCTTATTTCGTAGACAGCAAAAAGAACGTAATGAACGAATTCTTTTTATTGAATTCGCTCTTCGATTAACTTTAATTCATTTTAATCGTACGTTTGCCTCCAACGAGTTTCGCGTGAAAGCTGGAAACTTTAAAAAAGGAGCGCATTTCAAGAGTTCGTGTCAAAGTTGATATTCGTAAGATTGTTACGTTCTCCTTAATTTCGCCAAACGCAAATGCCGATTTCTTGTAGGACGTGCATAATACGAAATAAAATGCTTACATAACCAACAACTATCGATTCATTTAAAAAAGTTTGCATCGTTAACTCGACTTAGGTTCGCCGCTAGTTTCAGTGAACCAGCTGCATCATGCTCCATAACTATCCAGTTTATTACGGTTTGAAGGATCACGAATTCGTAGGAAAGTTCTACGGCACGGTGGCAGCTCCGCGAATTAATGAACCTGGCTCGAAGATCCTCGAAGCCGGAAGTGGAAGCACGGCTCGCGCGCGGATAACGGATTCCATTTTCATTTTTCACGGCGGAACTTTCCTTCACATTGAATTCCTATGGCTATTGGAACATTCCTTGAGGGCGGAAACGAGGCCGCGACGCCTTTAAGAGATTTATGGAAGTCCAATTTAACAATCGACATCGCCAGAACTAACTCGAAAACTCGCCAACACTCGCCGACATTCTTTTCCCCCCCTTTGATCGATTAATTAAGGAATTTCTCTCGTCGATATAATTTTATAATAGATGATAATTCTCAGTTTTTCTGATTTTGCCCTTGCATTCAGAATTTCTAATATCCTGATCGTTTAGTATAATCTGAATAATATAATCTAAAAAAAAAAAAAAAATAATCCAAAAAATTTTAATTTTAACGTCATATGGGGAATCTCAGTAGCTCGGTTGAATAGGAAGTAGGAATTTTTTTATTTCACGATTTTGAAACAATATTTATAATTGCACGACGATCTATATGCAATACCCAATGCTTTGATTCAATAATAAATAACAATTTTTTTTTATTTTAAACGTTGGACATGGAATTTTAGTACCTCGGTTTGATGATAAACTTTTTTTTATTTTAAACGTTGGACATGGAATTTTAGTACCTCGGGTTGATGGTAAATAATGATCAAAATATTGTACAATTTTGATCGCAATATCGATCATTTCGTAAAGTTCTACGTATATCAAATTTCTGGTACCGTGATTTGATAGTAGTAAGCAGTAATCTGAAAGTTTTACGCTTTCGATTTAATACAAAGTCCCGAGGTTTTGGTAGCTTAGTTTGATACTCGCAATTTTAATGTTTCGCAATTTGGCCGTTATATACGAGGTCTTAGTTTTTTACGAGATGGCCATAATGTGTAGAGTACGAAACGACCTTAAGAGAGAGAGAGAGGGTGAGAATTTAAAGGTAAATTATTAATGAGACAGACGATGTAACCTACTTCCTGCAGGTACAACAAGGTATTGCAATATTTAACCTAGATGGCCACACGTTTACAAAAGCGTTACATAATCTTAGGTGGCACGTTGATGTAAAGTCTGTAGAATTTTTAAAAAGTAAAAATTTCCTCAAAACTACTGACAGCTCGGCCTCTAATTCTAAAACGCAATTTTTAAAAATTCTCTACCGGTTCAAGTTTTTGCATGAAAAATTCTCTAAGAGTCTGTTTCCACTTAGTCGATGCTATTTATTTTTTTTTTTTTTCTTGTAGATTTTCATACTTCTAAAAATTGCTAGCATAAGAAACTAGTTCCAAGCTATTTCAAGGAAATATTTCCATCCGCGAGGTTCGACTTATTCTATTCTTTCCGCATCCTTTTACGTGATACACGGTCAAAGCAAAACTGAAATCATCGCACTTGGAAAGAAGCGAAAGAGGTGAAGGAACAGTACACGATGGAGATACAACCGAATCAGCTAAAGCAATTTGACATCGCCCACTCGGTTCGTCGTCAACTGGTTACGTAGCTTTAAGGTTAACCGAATTAAAAGTTAGCGAGGTTTAAATCAGATCGGAATAAAATCCGGCGCAGGTGCGAACCGCCCACAAAAACCACTTATCGTGCCATGTTCCATTTACTTTTTCTGCCGAAGTCTGACTCTCTGGAGCAAGAAGCTCCCTTTGAAACTTCGCGGAAAAGCTACACGATATTGTAGTAACCATCGCGAAATCAGATAAGCGAAATGAAAAGGAAAGTTGGAAGCAAAAACATGGGAAGTTCCCGATTCTCAACAGCGTCTCTACTATTTTCGTAGCGCTGCTGATTTTTATTACATCTGCGAAATTCTATCAACAACGACTAACCGTCGAAGGAAGAAGGAAAGTGTAGAAGAATTTCGAGTGAAAGTAAAATCGTGAAAGTAAAATCGTGATACGTCTGGTAACCTTAAGTCTACTTAAGCCTAAGCCTTTATTCGAGCAGGTTGCAATATCTGAAAGGCATTTGATACGGTACTTTTCGAAAACGAGAACACAAGTTCCTTGAACGATAATATCGGGCTATCAAAACTTCTCGATTTAATCTACCCTCAGTTTTTATCCAGCCTGCTTCCTCTGTCCTTACATTAGAACTGAATTGGGTTAATCGTGGACTATCCGTGGAATACGTAATATATGTATACGTAATATGAAGAAGTTGTTAGTCGGAGATTAAAGGATTTTCTAAAGCTCGTTGAGAGTACTGGAAAGAAATTGGTTGGTAAAAACTAATACCTCCAAGAATATGTAACGTTTTTAAGCTTAACGTTTTAGTTTTCAGAAGTTTACAATTAATTTTCGAATTGTGTGCGAAGTAACGTGATTCGAAGTTAGTATTACAGTAATATTTAGAAATAATGTAGAACGAAATATATGACAGAGTAACATCTTCAAAAAAAAAAATCATATATTCCTAAATTATTTGGAATATTAATTTGCAACTTGTGTACAGCGTGTGTACATATGTGTAAGCAGGATAGAGAAGAACTTACGAATTACAAAGCAAAGGCACTTAATTAACCTGTCAATTACAAAAGACAAATTAACTTGCCATTTAGATTGGTAATATTATTAATTGAATAATTTTATCGAACACAATTACTTTGATACTTGAGATACTTACATCTTTATAATAGTAGTAAAATCGATATATTTACGCCTTTAGGAAAGTTTCTAATTGATCGATATTCTGGATTATTTTCATAGAAAATCGGACAGCTCCAACTTTCATATTTGTACCGATAATTTGCACAGAACGTGTGTACTGAAAAGAGGGCACTATATCGGTAATTAAGCTTCATCGATACAGTGAGATGCTCAAAGAGATATGCAAAAAAGTAGGTTAACAGCAAATACCATTTCCGATTCTTCTTTCTTTTTTTGTACGACTGATGTTCCAGCGTCACGGTTTACATGTAGAATACCTGGCCGATCGATCGAATTGCGTTTAGCAACAGAACACTTGTCGTAATGGCATCGTGGAATGCTATCGATTCGTACGAGGACGTCGATATAGAACACGCGTAACGCGTAATAATCGTCAACTTTGCTTAAGTGTGTGTGTGAAGTGAATATCGGCCAAATTATCGGTAGATTCGTCTGTTTCCTATGTTTACATGCCAGCAATTGCATAATATTTCGTATATTTACAAGGGTGGTTATCGATTTTCTGATATTTGCAGTGCAAACACGGCTCGTATTATATTTATTTCAATATTCATCTATCAAGATACCAAAGTGTAAATATCATTTTAAACAAATATAATCATGCAGAGACATAATGAAAACAAAATTGTAAAGAAATTAAACGCTTTTTTGGGAAAGAGGCTGGCTCACGAGTATTTTAATATTTTCATACAGATTGCCTTATATTTAAATAAATGCTGGTTTTAATTTAAGGACGATCGTATATCGCCAAAAAAGAAAAAAAAATAGAATCTCAACTAGCATCTAAAAATGATTAAAAAGTAATATTTTAAAACACCATAATTAAGCTCCATTCTAATCTTAAAAAACTATGTCAAATTATGCACGAAAATCATCAACTGTGACTCGAAAGTCTCACAGCTAACGTAAACCATAAATTCCGAGACTAAAAGTCTTGTTCGATCGTTCGCGGAGAGACGCGTTCGCGAGGAAGCGCGTCAGCGGCAGTCGTAAATTCCTGTTACGATTAGATAATCGACGCCACAAAATGATCGATACCCTATTTCGTTTAGGATAATGGAGGTGGTTGAACTGATTATAACACTAAAGTAACAGGTTATAATATACACTTTATTCCAACAACTTTGTAGACATAGACAGTTACGCTCGGTGCTTATAGATATAAGTTAAACAGATGACTGATCTAAGGTTGATAAACCGATCAAAACATTGACTGGTCAACGCATGAAAAACCAGTCAAGAGATGTTGATTAATCTAAAGATGGAAAACCAGTCAAAAGATGTTGACTGATCTAAGAACGACAAACCGATGAAATTCGGTGACGATAGTGTCGCAGAGGAAAACTATTGCTGGGTGTTGGTCCCCCCACCACCGGTCGCTTGTGGGTGGAAATGATCGTTGAACATGGGAAAAATCCGACCTTGCCATATTTTACCTGATGGAACAATAACCACAAGGAACGTCTCGACTTGAATATATTTTATAACAATTAAGGGCCCTAATGGTAAAATACAAATGCTTAGTTTTATGACAGTTCCTTGGGGTTATTGCGATCCGACTAATTATATTTCCACAGCTAGTGGCCGCCTCGACCGAGGAATGGATTCTGGGTTACGTAAAGAGTCACCGGACGTAACATCACGAACTGTATGAAATGCAAAAAGACTAAATCTTACGTGAAACTTAAACTTCCAGTGCAATCACGTAAATTCGTTTCATAGAACCGTAATATCGTCGTGAGATTGCGAAGAAGCTGTTTGTACTCGTCCGTGCGATACGTCGGGTAGTTTTGTGGCGTATCCGTTTCGATGGATACATAGAAGAAAGGAAACCAGTCGGAAAATCGCATGCTCGCGTCAGCTAATTTGCTTTTCAACGATGACAGCGCAGAAAATCGTTCGCACTGTAACGCATGCACTGCCATTTCCAGGTGAAAGTGTTTGTTTCCATTGTCTTTTCTTTCGCAGACCAAATCATATCAACTGATAGAACAATATTTCCTAAGTGATCGAAGCTCGTGTTCCTTCGCGTTGCTTAAAGGGAAACGCAAGATCAATCGCCTCGCGTGATATACAGGCGAACCTGATGCAGCTAGCATTCATTATCGATTCAAACGCGTGGCTTGTAATGAACAAAGATTGCTGGAATAATCTAGTAGAATAGCGTAACAACGTAAATTTCAAAAGTGAAGAAAGAAAAAAAGTTATTTACATTTCCAAAAATTACTGGAAATCTATACAATTTCTATGCAAAAATTACCAACTATTAATTATCAAAATTTCTATTCAAAAAATATTATCTTGGCTCCTCTTGTATTGATATATATTCGTCCATGTAATATCAGATTCATAACACCTTCAACAATCAATCTCTTCCTCTTCAAGAGAAGAATCCTCATTTGCGAAAGATTCTCGTCGATCAAGCAGATAAAAAAATCCTGAAAAATGCATATTTCTTTCTCAAACTTTATAATGATGAAAAATATCCTTATCCATTACTCATTTCGAAGTGCAATTGCTCCATTTGTCGAACAATCAGAAGCACTTCAACGTAACCGTAAAGCAAAATCGATGCTAATGAAAATATGATTCCCAAGCTGCAGCAATTACTCCACGCGCACCTTTTCCGTATCGATGCTCTACGATGCAGACTTTCATTATGCACGAGCTCTCGAAGCACCTGAGCGCGCGTTTAATGGCCTCTAATCCATATTCCTTGCCTAAGAAATCTTCTCGCCTTGATTGCAGATCCTGGACGACGAATTCGATAAGGCGCGTGCGAATTTTACCATCGAACTGCTAAATATTTGAATAAAGCCTTACCGCTTCAAATTATTCCGATGTTAGAGCTGATTTTTCATCGAGAAAATAGTAACACAGATGCTACAGTAGGCATATTTTACTAATTTTATTATCACGATATTTAGGTTGATTGAGTTATCGAAATGAAGACTTGTGTAACGTACATGATTAAACGATAGTCAAAATGTCTCATAAAGTTTGGATGCTCTCTGAGGATTCACGGAAAGCACTTTCTGCTCTGACAATCTGATAAAGTTTCGTACTTTTTCATACTTCTTATTCTATACATTCGTATACATAATTTTCTTTATTACATATCGATAACATTTTATTGGTGACACGATAAGAACAGAGACTCTCCGGTGTTTTTCAGTTTAGGCTAAGACATTTTGTGTTTGTTTCGCCTTAAAAAGGTTTCTTAAAGCGATCTCGTAATATATATTACGTTTATATCGATTGTCAAAAATGTTTTACGTTTTCTTTCCTCTTCCTTTTTTTTTTTTTTTTTTTTTTTTTTTTTTTTGGTTTGATTTGTGTCATTGATTTAAAAAGAAGAAAACAGGTATATCATGGAGGAAGCTGAATCAAATATACAGGAGATGTATATTGATTCGGTGTTCGTGGGAAATAAGCCAGTGTCTTGTGCATCTTTCTGATTGAAGTTCTTGTTTCTTAACAAACTTTAACATACTTTCGATAGGATAAATGTAGCACCATGGAAACTGTGTCAGCGGTGACTCAGTACGAGCATGTCTCGTACTAAGCCACGGCAATTCGTTTGCTCCTGTTTTACAGATAGCGGCAGCGGCATGAATGCACGAGACTGGTTACGAAGTGCCATTTGCAGAGTGCCGCGCGATCTCGTATGGTTCGTCAAGATCGCGCCCAATAATTATCAAACTTTGTGTATGCAGCTATAGTGTAATAGAAAAAAACAAAGGGACGAGTTGATTGGAGGACAGAAAACAGTGATTTGTGTCATTGATTTAAAAAGAAGAAAACAGGTATATCATGGAGGAAGCTGAATCAAATATACAGGAGATGTATATTGATTCGGTGTTCGTGGGAAATAAGCCAGTGTCTTGTGCATCTTTCTGATTGAAGTTCTTGTTTCTTAACAAACTTTAACATACTTTCGATAGGATAAATGTAGCACCATGGAAACTGTGTCAGCGGTGACTCAGTACGAGCATGTCTCGTACTAAGCCACGGCAATTCGTTTGCTCCTGTTTTACAGATAGCGGCAGCGGCATGAATGCACGAGACTGGTTACGAAGTGCCATTTGCAGAGTGCCGCGCGATCTCGTATGGTTCGTCAAGATCGCGCCCAATAATTATCAAACTTTGTGTATGCAGCTATAGTGTAATAGAAAAAAACAAAGGGACGAGTTGATTGGAGGACAGAAAACAGAGAGACAGAGTGACAATATATAATATATATATTAACGTAGCAAGTGAACGAATCATAGTGTACAGTTTGATCGACGTGTGTAAAGTGAACAGTAGGAGGCAAAAAGTACAAGTAAAGAAAGAAACGGAAAAGGACAATCAACATGGGAATCGATAACAGTGCATCGAATTACCGTAGTTCGATCATGTCGAAAGTCTGCGCTAGATGCATTGAAGTGTCGATCATGTTCCTTTTCGGGCCACAGGCAACGCTGTAATTCTGTTTTCATTCGAGTCGCACAGTATGCATGATGAATCGCCTCAGGGATCATCGACAGCCTAAATATCATACTTGGAGGTTCGTCGAAACATAGAAGACACGAGGTCGACTCGACGTATTGCGTCATAAAAACGCAAACTTAGATGAAAATGGATTCGACGAAGCTGGGTGGGCCAGCCCCAACCAGCCCAAGGGCACACTCGCCAGCCCTACCGGCCTACAGCAGTACCACCACGGATGGCAACATCGATTACATAATCGGAGACTATATGGAGAGACTCGGCACGAGGTTGAATACATTGGAGAATGAGCTGAGGTACGCCTGGAGGGCGTTAGACCTGCTCAGTCAGGAATACATCAAGATGTGGGAGAGGCTAGAGAAGTTAGAGGGCCTCTTATACGAACAACAAACGGTGATCAGTCAATTGATCGAATTCTACGCGAGCGGTGGCACTCACGAGACTGCCAACGTGGTGGTGGAGGAGACATTAGCCAATCAACAGAGCACCGTTGGCGAGTTGGACGCGATCGCGAAGAGCATAGGCGCCACCATGGGTATAGAGGAGACGAACGCGATAAGAGAGAAATTAGCTCAGCAGGAGATCGCGAGAATGCACGGACTCACGCAGGACAGCTCAACCGCTGCCGCGGTAGTTACCGACATGCATAGAAACGTGAGGAACTTGGACACTCTGGAGACTCTCGCGGAAGAGAGTAACATTCCAGACGAGGCGTTCTACAGAAGCTTGAACAACGCGTACAGGGAGGATTTAATTTGCGGCGACACGTCCAGACCAACGTCGCAACTGGGTATGATCTGGGAGGAGGCGGAGGATGAGGATGTGAATGGAAAGAAAGAGGCGGAGTCGAACATGTTCGACAAAGCTATGACCAAAGAGAAGGAACTCGAGGAATTGACTACAAAACCAACGAAGGAAGAAATTCAGGAATCAGTGACGAAAAAGGAAGACGAAGCGGACGAGGACGAAGGCGAAGTGTTTAGTGCAGCTGATTACAAAAGTTATCGTGGCAATACGCCTTGTGTCAGCGAACAAGATTTGGCCCAGCTCTCTAGACTCAGTTCCATCGACCAAGTCGCTCTGGAAAAATTACACGAACTGGACAGGTTGACCAATAAATTACAAAAGGACTCTCAGAACTTGATAGAGTTACAGTCGAAGTTAATGGACTCTCCGAAACGACAATATAGTTCCGAAGCTGAAGCTAAATTGGCGGAAGAAGCGAGTAGTATAGACGAGCAGCTAAGAAAGATTTACGCCGAAACCGATGTCGATAGTTGGACCTTCTCGAAAAGTCCCGGATCGACCGGTCGATCGATCTCCAGAGTGAGCACAGATAGTGGTCTAGCTACTGACGGTGACTTCACAACTCGATCAATTTCGCCAAGACTTACGTCCACGTCCAGAACGAACTTAGATTCCATTTCGAGTACTTACACTCCACCCAGGCTAGGTAGCTACGCAACAGCTGTACGGGAAAAGAGTCCAGAGCCAGTGATCCAATTGCCTATTGACGTCGGTAGCTTCGCCAAAGGCTACGCGGAGAACAAAGAACTGACCGATCTTATGGCCGAAAGCTTCGCGGCTGTCACCTGCGCCTCTCCCACCATTTACAGCACCACTACTGACAAAATCCCATCTCCTACTCACTCTGCGGGAAGCGTCCATAGTGTCCATAGCGTCCACAGTGTGCAGAGTCTTCGAACCAGGCAGGACGGTTATTTCGGTAGCACTGCTCGACTGAATTTGGAATTCCAGGAAAGTAGAACTCCTCCAAGTCCGTCACCCAGCTCGCCGCCTCCGCCAGCTCCTCGAGACTCAACCGAGCCTTTCCTGATGCCAGGACCTGATCAGAGAGAAGCTGAAACAAAACGACCTCAGAGTCCTACGTTTTTGAGGAGCACGGAGAAACTGGTTTCCCTGGAACAAGGTCGCCTAAGTCCACGAACTCCTCACTCGCCTAAGTCGCCACGAGTCTCGCCTAAGCACACAGCCAAGCCAAGCGTGGCCAACATCGTTGCAGTCAAGTCTGATTCCGGCCTATCTTCAATGAGTGGGTGGAGCAGCCTGGACAAGTCGCCGAGCTCGCCAAAAAGTTCAATCACCAAGATGCTCACTTCGTATTCGGTAGATCATCCCAGATCAACTTTAATCCCAAGTACAACGACGGTCAGATCTGCCAGTCCAATTCCACCTCTTCCGGAAACCACAACCTCGGTCATTACGCAGGAACCGCTGTACGATACGCCGGAAGGAAGAGACGCTTTCACGAGTACTACCACCGCCACTTATACCGTTACGAGCCACTCTTACACCGCAGCCATGAATCATTTGTCAGGCTACACGTCGATAAAGACACCGACCACCAAAGAGGAGTACAGTTTTGTACCTCCTCCAGCACCCATCGCGACCACTTGTCAGAGTCCAAAGAAACGAGGTCGCCAGCAAACTTTACAGCATACTTACGACACCGTACCGCCTGGAACCACGATCGACTATGTGTATAGGTCTGAGCAACCTGCCATTTATTCCGTAGCTGGGAGTAATCGACAACAGGCCATCACGAGCGTCTATACCAGCAGCGCTGGGGGCTATGGTCCGAAAACTACGACCACTGCTTACTATCCAGATGCAATGGACCAGTATAACAGCTACCAGGATAATTATAGTGCTGTTCAATATACGGAATCGGCCGCTGTAGGAGGTCACCTGAAGAAACCTTCACGAGGCAGCGCGTACACTGACGGAATGACAAACCACGAAGGGTACAAAGCCGCCATGTATCGCACAATGTTCCCCACAGGGAATATCACGGACGCACTATCTTATTATCCGACTAGCGCAAATCTGCCGCGAACGGAGACGAACGAGACTTCGTGGCTAAATTCGATGG